CTAGGTTTTTGTTACAAAAACAGTTTAATTTCAAATAATAATTTAAAATTATTTTTGTACTTAAAACAATTTAATTCTTTTGGAAGAAATTTCGATTTTTCGAGTTGAAGGGAGACTGGGCTTTCTCTGGAGAATTCCTGATTAAAATCCTGGTTTATGTCATTCTACTGTATATAAACTTAATAATTTAAAAATATTTTTTAGGAAATAAAAAAAAATAAATATAAATTTACTTTATTTCTTTTTTTCGGATTAATTTAACAAATATCAAGAGTATAATACAAATTCCAGTCCTGAAACAAAAAGATATTCTTGTAACTTAATTTTCGGTAATTCTGAACAAAAATGAAATTAACAAAATATTTATTCACAGTTTTTAGATAAGATTTTATAACCTTAATTAGAATGATGTAGAATGTCCTGAAATACAGGACAGACTCTGCACAAGGTTAATTATACATAAAATATACTGTATCCATCAATTTGAAACGCATTTAACCACTTTTTTGGCAAATATTGGATTAAAGTAACGGAAAAAATAAATCTTATCTAAAGATTTTATTAGATTTTGTTATTTTTAGTACAGCTTTTAGGTTCGGGTCATCAAAACAGTATTCATTCACACTTCAATCCTTTTGTTCGTCAGAAATTACGTTAAATGATCCGAACAAGTAGAAATTTCGGTAAAGGATCGACTATAGTTGTCGATCTTAACCTATTAAAAACGGTTTATATCGTAAATCCATTCTTCTGTTTTTCTGTCGACTGCGGATCGATAAGAGTGGAAAGAAACCTGATGAAGATGAAATTTTCTATTCAGGTCAAATATTAATCAAAGAAACTTGTTCACCAAAGCGAATTCTTTAATCTTTTTTATATTTGCCAGAAACATATTCAGTTATTTTTTAAATATTTACTTTTCAATAAGAATTAAAAATTAAATTAAGCTTTTTTAACATGATAACAAAATAATTCGTTATTTTTCTTATAAATAATAAGCAGAATAATGAAAATTAATTTAGTATTAATATAGTTTCGTTGCAGAAATCTAAATTTCTGCAACGAAACTATAGATTATGATAAATTTATTTTTATTATTAATAATACAGATTTATATAAAAATAAATCTTTAAAAATTATCATAGAAACTTGTAAAAATAAAACTGTTCTGCTAGATTTTCTCTTCTTTATTTTTTATAATCTAATATGCAAAGCGAAATTAAATATTAAGTATGCAATCTTTCGAAAAATTTAATACAGTATGCGTTTGTGAAAAAAATAAAATTATGCAATAGAAATGAGTACATTTTGAAAAAGGTTTCCTTCCTATTCGTTGTCAACAATATTGAAACTATTTTTAGCACTTTTACACTTGGTGCTGTCAAAATGCTTTAATAGAAATTCAATTCCTCCAGGACACGATAACTTGAGTTAAAAGATTCGGGAGAGCTGAAATTATGGGTGATGGTCAACAATGGTCTTGAGACAGCCTATTAAAAAAATGAACAGAAACGGGTCTTTTTTCTGACTTCAGAATCGGTGACATTTGAAATAGATGAGCGATTGAGTTCAAAATTTCTGTGAAGGTCAATAATAGTCGGTTGAAGCTTTTCAGTTCGTATTGAACACGTCATAGAACTTGCCGACTCTTGGACAACATAAAGTATTGTATTATAGATCACAAATTTTAGAAAAAAGACGGTAATATGTTTTTTTTTCTTTTTGATTTAATGTGTGAAGATATAACGTTGAGCGCATTTTCAGAATTAGAAATAATTACTAAGTTCGATTTCCTGTGACTGTCCTTATCATATTCCCATGCATTAGAAGATTAGGACGAATATATTTATGTTTTTATTCTGTATCAGTTTCCTTTCTACTTTATTGTGAATTTATCAACATATTTATTTTAATATATTATCGAGTATACTTTTTGTAATTATTAATACCTCAATTTCGATTTTTAGATACTAAAAAATTTATTAAAATAAAGTGTATACTAATATTTAATCAATATTACAAAAAATTTTTAATATATATCTGTCAATAGTATAATAGAATGCAGATAATTACAGTGAAACTAGGGCAACATTCTTATAACTAAATAAAATGTAAAACGCAATTTTCTATGTAAATAAACAAATTAAGAATCCAATAAGGAGTAAATGCGGACAAATTAATTTTTAAATATTATTCTGTGAATGATTTATTAATAATATAAGTTTATGAATAATAAGTTATACATTGTATATCTATATCTATATATATAGGCTATATAAAAATGGACGTGTGTGTCCCTATATTTCACTTTTTAGCCAAAACTACACATCGCACATGAATGGTGTTTGTATGTGGTAGTAGCCCCAAGTCTCCACGGTGGTTGCGTCTCGATAGTTATAAGGGTGCGGGAGATATGGGATTGAAAGTGGTTGACTTCGAAGATGTGTAACAATGGAAATGTTAAGAATGGAAATGTTAACAATGGAAGTGTTGAGTAACAAAGGAAGTGCTAATATAAAGCGGCATGCAAGATTTACAAACGGTTTTTTGCGTTTTTGCGGGTCCTTGTAGCTAGATTATAGATTACTTATAAAAACAGTCTTTTTTAAATATAAAAAACTATATTACATACAAATAAAAACCCAGCGAAGCGAACCCTTGCAGCTAGTTTATATTAATAAATAGAAGATGATCCGCTTTAGTTCATTTTCACAGAAAAGCGTAATGCCTCACAGAAAAGCAAACTTAGGGCGTCGTACTCGTAGCACCATCTGTTAGACATAAAAGCCTTAACTCTAGATGATATATTTTAATTTATATGAATGTTTAACGGAATAATATACAGCCTATCTCCACCCTGAAGTTCCATTCTAAATATTGGTGAAAGAATTTTTGAAATCGGATGAGTAGTTTCGGAGATTACCCGCTACATACAAACTTACATACATACATACAAACATTACCTCTTTATAATATTAGTATAGATATAGATAAAATTTTAGAGGAATAGGAACCACGACGAAATCATCAGCCCGTTTTTAACATGTAAGAAATATGACGTCACTGATCTATCACGTAATATCTCCATTACCTTTGCAGATATCACGTGATATCTCCAAAGGTAAAGAAATTTTCCCGATAAATAAGTTATCAGAAAACACGTCAGAAATGCCAAGCGAATAGTCACACCGAGAAATGTCACGTGACACGCTTTTTGTGCGTACGCCGTGCAATGTGCCGCTCCGCGACAGAAACAAACTTAATCAATTGCGGGTTTGAACGGTGTTAACTCCATAAGTATTTCTACAATTCTTTGTTTATGGCATATTTTATACAAATTATCCCAAAAAATTAAACGCGTTTTAGAAATGTTCCAGTCAAATTACTGTAGGATCGATTAATTTTACGGAAGAAAACGTTTCAAACTGCATAAGTTCCGAAATGAATACTCTGGAAGAAAAACGTTTGTAACCGGGAAAGCAAGTGTATTTGAAAACTCAATGGCCATATCTTGCTATACTTTCGAAAAATGTCAACTTTCTAAATTCCGCGGGCCTTCTGACAATAAATACTTGCAGTTACAGAGAAAAGACATATCACATATCAACGATCCGTAAAAATTGGTAAGATTATCACCTCAACATACCGCGTATGGCCGGCATCGAAGAATACAAGGAATAAAATCACGCGAATTTGCGTCGTGTCTTCCACGCGGTCCAAAAATGTCCCGTACACAATATCGTTAAACCGACTGACGGTTCTTTGCCTTCCACCATGCCATAAAAGGTTAATTAAATACGTATTCGGACCAAAAAAGAGCGAAAGTGACAGACGGATTCCCTTACTTTTCCTACTAAAATTCTTCCAGATTTCTACGGACCCTGTACATTACAATAAACCGACCCCCGAAAATCAGTTGTATGTCGGATTACAGAGATTCTACTGTATTACGAAAAATATAACTAAAATACTAATATAAAATTAATATATAAAATGTTTAAAAATAACTTACCTTTATAATAAAGCAAACTTAAGAAGAAAAATACTGAAAACAAAGGCACANACTTAATCAATTGCGGGTTTGAACGGTGTTAACTCCATAAGTATTTCTACAATTCTTTGTTTATAGCATATTTTATACAAATTATCCCAAAAAATTAAACGCGTTTTAGAAATGTTCCAGTCAAATTACTGTAGGATCGATTAATTTTACGGAAGAAAACGTTTCAAACTGCATAAGTTCCGAAATGAATACTCTGGAAGAAAAACGTTTGTAACCGGGAAAGCAAGTGTATTTGAAAACTCAATGGCCATATCTTGCTATACTTTCGAAAAATGTCAACTTTCTAAATTCCGCGGGCCTTCTGACAATAAATACTTGCAGTTACAGAGAAAAGACATATCACATATCAACGATCCGTAAAAATTGGTAAGATTATCACCTCAACATACCGCGTATGGCCGGCATCGAAGAATACAAGGAATAAAATCACGCGAATTTGCGTCGTGTCTTCCACGCGGTCCAAAAATGTCCCGTACACAATATCGTTAAACCGACTGACGGTTCTTTGCCTTCCACCATGCCATAAAAGGTTAATTAAATACGTATTCGGACCAAAAAAGAGCGAAAGTGACAGACGGATTCCCTTACTTTTCCTACTAAAATTCTTCCAGATTTCTACGGACCCTGTACATTACAATAAACCGACCCCCGAAAATCAGTTGTATGTCGGATTACAGAGATTCTACTGTATTACGAAAAATATAACTAAAATACTAATATAAAATTAATATATAAAATGTTTAAAAATAACTTACCTTTATAATAAAGCAAACTTAAGAAGAAAAATACTGAAAACAAAGGCACAGAAGAAAGTCTTAGCTGCGATTAACGACACAATAACGAAACAATGCTAGGAGCGAAAGTGAATTTGAAACAATGAACTAACGGTTTTATGTGGCTGTTGAACGCCACCTGGAGAAAAATATCTAAAACAAAAGGAAGGTATGTACAGTACCATTGTAATTTAAAATATTATAACTTAGAATGATATATAATTTTAAAGGGTATATTCTTTCATTAAATAGTATCTTTTCATTTTTAACGGAATACACTTGTAGACACTCGTATCTATTGTTATAATAAACAATGGTAATATTTAACTATTTAAATTTTAGTTAGGTAAAAATTACTTACAGTTTCTAGTTTTCGACATAGATTATAACTTTTTTTGCTGATTACAATTTCACACAGAGTACTGAGAAGTTTTACAGTTTTTAAGGTCTGTCAATGAATTACGTTCGCATTTTTCTTTTTACGCGAATTTTTACACTTTCTTTTCTTTTGTTTCAGTTTGTTTACAATTCCGTAAACCCTGTTCGGACATCCATCAAAACTCAACCACCCTTTTTATGCATAATAAAATATATAAATTGTGTAAAAGTTAATGAAATAAAACGGACGTCTACTGAAGGTCAACCCCTTCCTTTCCCCTTGTCCGATTTATTTCGACTTGTCGTAACCCTCTCTCTTACTTTCAGTATGGACGTCATTTATGGACAGCGTCTAAATTGTTTAATTAGTTGTTTTACTTCTTTAGTTTTACGTGTTTCTTCTGATGACCTATTTAATATATTTTACACGTGGTGTCCAATTAACATCTGTAGAAGGTAGCATTATGTCTTCCTAGAACTGGACACATTGTTTACTACAATTTGGACGTTACAGTACCCAAGGGCAAAAAGAAAAATAAATGAGGTGAGAATTTTGATTGTTAACATCTTTTATTACTTTTTGAGTAAAAGAGAAAGAAAAACTAAGGAACAAAGTTTGCTAAGATAGATTAGTGGAAGAAGTTATACCACGTTAAACTGATGTTTTATTTTTAGCCACTTTAGACTGAACGGCGTACAGTTGAAGTAAATACATTAATAATTGCCATCTTTTTACCTACACCTAAAGAGAATTTAAAATGTTCATATGTAAAATGAAGAACTTCGGTCTCTTCTATGGTGCTACCATCTTAAAGTTTAAATTTTCTTCCAGTAGTCAACAGACTGCAACGGCTCTTCAGGACTGTAGGAGATTTATGAATCTACAGTGGTATCGGTCACATGACTTACACACTTCTTGTTGCTTACAGAGTGTTAGAAACGTTATGTCGCCAACTCTGGCCACACCTTAGTGTACACATTAAGAAAGGATTTTTGGAAATTCCACCCTCCGAAAGAAGAAGAGGGAATTAGTTTCAGTCAGTATAAAGTGTAAATAATGAAAGTAAATAGTGGCACATATAGTATACATTTTGGCAATTAATAAATATTTTAATCATTTTCACTTTTCGGGTAACCCAAAAACAACAAATCAAAAATAAACGAATAGTTGAAGTCGTTCGAAATTCGAAGTATTGAATTCGAAATATAACGTTCCATACAAGTATTTTTTAGAGTTAAGAATTTAAAATTAATCATTTTATTCAAGTAAGGTCATCGCCAAGTAAGTTAATTCTCCATTACGTATAATGAAAAATTTTCTGATTATTTTTATTTTATAGGTTGTTTTATTTATTTGTTTTTAGGTTACTTAAATAAAAAATATTTTTAAATAATAAAGTTTTATTCAGTTAAAATTCAATAATGATTTTAATCATTTTTCTTCTATTAGATATCCTATAAATAGAATAGTAAAAACCAGGGCTGTGGAGTCGCGTAAAAATCTACAGACTCCAACTCCGACTCCCTGGTGAAAACGAAATTTCTCATAAATTAGATCCAAATCCTATAATATAATCGAATCAAGATGAATTGATAATAATAATAATAATAATAATAACTGTCAGGAGTTCAAAGTTCTAATTTGATACACAGTGGACGTCATGTAAATGTACACAAAAGAAGGGATTTTCCGAAATCCCAGCAGGAGAGAGGGTAAAGGATTACCCTGAATTCGGATTTTACTGTACTATTTTACATGCGGAAATCGAAAGTATTTTTAGACCCATCTAAAAATTCTCTAATTAGTCACGAGAGATGGCGAACCTAATTATTGTACCCGGTAAAAACGAATAAAATCGGCTGTAATCTAATAATCCTAATTTTCGCTATCGTTACTTTTTGTCCAAGCATCTGCTAATCCAGGCATGGCCAACATACGGACCGTGTAATGAATTTATGTGGCCCGCGATCAATCTTTCAATATTAGCTACACAAGTCCGAATAGCTCGATGAAAAAATTCTGACGCCTAAAAAAAAATAAATAAAAGTCAACAACTCACTGCGCGTTTAGAGTTAACCCTCCATTACAAATTTCATACGTACAGCGTAGAATGTTGATAAAGCATGATAATTTAAAAAATGTATCTGTAATCTCTATCTACAATTTAGTCTCTACGGGGTGACACCACAATAAAATCTCGCACCACCTCAAAATCTTCCTAGGTCAGCCTCTGGTTCGGCCCGTAGAAATTTTTCTTTCTAATTTGGCCCGGAGGCAAAAACCGTTGGCCACCCCTGTGCTAGTCTGTTGATATTCTTGATAATAAGCAGACACAGAATCATAGTAGCGTGAATTATACAATAGTATTTATCTCGAAATTAAGAGCGGAGTCCCGAATAACAATTCCAAGTGTCATCTTCGTTTTTACACAGACCTTATATCGTCGATTTGCTATATTTTTAAAGATGATTACAGTACACACAATTTCTTAGATAATCCAATAACTCGAGCCATATCGTTGTGAGCATTATATTGTAATTTATTATCTATTATTGATGTTTATTGTCAGTTACTTCTTTGATGAAATGATTGATTCCAGGTTGTCCGTTAAGGTATGTGTGGGTTATCTCTATTCTTAAACAGTACAGTAATACTTCGACTTACGATACCCCGACTTACGCGAACCCGGAGTTACGCGATTTTCAAATCTCGTCGATTCGTCTTTTGTTTGAGCGCCACGCAATTTTCGATTACTCACTACCCCACACTATTGTTCGGCTTACATGTTCGGATGTGTCGCGCGGAATCCACACATAGCTACAATTTATTTTGTGTTATTTATATTCTGTGTTTGTTATATCTACGGAGACTCGAGAGATTCTACTATGTCATCCAAACGAAGTAGAACTAATTCTTCTGCATCAAACAAGGAAAGAAAAACTTTTTCTTTAAAATGTAAAGTTAACATTGGGTATATTCGTAAAGTCGAACGAGTTAAACGAGAATGACGTCATCGTTATTCCTATTTCATTAGACTTTTCGAACGATTCGTTACTAACGCGTTTAACTCGTTTGACTTTACGCATGTATCCATTATTAAAGACTTCGATACAAAAATGAAAATTTGTGAATTGGCAAAGAAGTTTAATCTACCGGAATTGTCGATCAGAACAATTATAAAAGGCAAAGAAAAAATTCTCGAAGCTGTGAAAAATGTTCAATCTTTAAATTCGAGCATCATTCGTAAACGTCACGGTATTATCCCTGAGATTGAAACAGTGTTAAAAAATTATGGCGTAATAATCAAGTAAATGTGAAAAATTGTAAAATAATATAGGCCTAATTTGTATACATATGTATTATCTAAGATTTTATTAAACATTTTTTTCTAAATTATTGTTTTCTTTAGTCTCCGGCTCCAATTAAAAATTATTTGTATGTATTTATATGGGAAATTATACCCCGACTTACGCGGTTACCGCTCGGTTCCACCTATCGCGTAAGTTCGGGGTATTACTGTATATATATTAATATTATTGGGCAGCAATATTTTAATACCGAGAAAGGAGCTAGATAAGTTAAGACCAGTTATAGAAAGCGTAAGGGCAAGAGGGTCCGATATAAGAATTTCCGATACAAACCGGAAATTATGTTATCTCGATTCAAACCATCTACTTTTGATAAATGTTAGATAAATAAGCGGTATGATGAAAACGCAATTCTGAAAGAGGATTAAACTTTTACGGATTACTTCAGTAATACGTTTACCTTTCTAAGTTATTTGTTTTATTTTGATCTTAATTACTTCCTTCAGAAGTAATCAAGATTAAAATAAAACAAATAACTTAGAAAGGTAAACGTATTACTGAAAAGCGCAGAATTATCAATATATTTTTTGATCACTATAGATCATGGACGGTTTTTTCCTACCGTTTCTGACAGTACTAGTGCAGAAGATTACATAACAAGTTCTAACGTATGAAACACTTTTTTTTTGAAAAATTCTAACATAATGAACCTAAATGATAGCACCACAGATATGGATTTTTAAGTATGGGCGTAATGAAATATCTATCTGATATTATAATCTGAATAATCTAGAATCAGTCCGGGGCGTAACTCGAACCCGTAACTCCCGGTTACTGTGCGAGCGTTTAGGATGCTTATAACGTGTTTAAATACGTCTGGAGAAAAGAACGGGGGTAGCGTAACTGGTAACGCATTAGCACTAAATTAGGGGTTGCGGGTTGGAATCTCGCTGCTAGCCCATTCCTTTCTTTCAGAAAATTTTAAAACTATTTAATAAATAATAATTACATTTAATAAGAGATGGCCCCTAACGTTTTCCTCTACCAACAAATTATTGGGATATTAATTACATATAAATGGTTGTTTGGCTTTACAAATTTATCGGATTTCCTATCACATGATCCAACTCTTCGACTACGAAGGTTCTCTGGACGACAGGTTGATAAACTTTCATTAGTTACGTTTTCGGTAATACTGTAACGTTCTACAACAAAATCCACCGAGTTTAGCTTTGCAAGAAAAACAATTTTCTTGACAAAGAAAACAAAATCCTACCCAATGGCGGACTACTCTATAATAATTTTTTAATATTCTGTTTATTTTTAATCAAATAATAATGAAAAAAATTTTGATTAAANTCTAAAATTAATGCTCGGTTATACCGTAATT